TTATTTTCTATCGATTTTAATCTAACAGTAATACCAAGATCTATTGTTACATCCTGAACGTGAAACTGTATCTTTTTTCTTTTTAGAAAGAGATTTATTGCTTGCTTAATTGTTTTTTTTTAAATTTTAAAAGAAGAATCTTTTGGAATTATAAACACCGCCTCTGGTTCGTTTGATTATATTTCTTGAAATTTTAACAAGTACTCCTCGAATAATATGGATAACATTGGATAAAATTAATTCGTCAACCGTTTATATTTTAACATACATACAAAATTACTCGTTCGTAAATATGTTAAAATCTTATTAAACAGCGACTTAGTGTTTGAAATCGATCAAAATTTTTAATTTTAATTTAAATCGAATCGTTGTCAAGGCGGAATTCTCTTAAAATGATATTTAATTGAAGACAGTTTCGCGTGTATATAATTTTTAATTTTATGCTCACACTAGTTTTAAAAAAATGCTAGACGTATTTATGCTTCTTTGTAAGAAGGCCACTTTTAAGGCACAATTGAAAAATATTTTGCAATTCTATTCATTACATCCTATAGTATCCATGGAGCAAGTGTAAAAAACCGAAGGCAGTGCCATCTTCTGTGAAAGTACTTTACGCGGTAAGTACTGATTGTCCGTTAACCTCAAACTGCCACTTGAGAAACTTCATCCCGAAACAATTCTTCTTTCCACGAGATCACCGAGGACGAATCGTGGTATCCGAGTTTCCACGACGAATCTGCAACAAAAAACACAGGAGAAAGGTAAATTCGACGACGATATTTATCCCTCCGTTCGAACCCCTCGAAATTCTCCTTCGTGTGATTTATTTCGGATAAACGTTATTTCCGCGTATTCTATCCCCGAGATTCTTCCGAGGGAAGGAAGAGAATTTCTGTATGACCCACCTGGCTATTGTATCTCATCCACCATCGATCGGGGAAGATTCTTATTTACCTGGATCAGCAAGAATTAAGCGCGGAAACGGACCAACTGATCTTACGGACACCCCGGTATAACCTCAAAGATCGTGGGAAAAGTATATATATGTAGTAAGTATACGTAAAATCACAAAAGTTTCCATAAGATTTCCTTCTTTTAAAATTTAAGATTTTAAGATTTTTAAAAAAAGTGATTTTTATATATCATTATAAATGATAATTTTCTGCTGGCAAATTATATATGTATTAAACACAAAGAAATATGTGTGTAGTGGAGTGTACGATGATATATAAATTTGTGCAAAATGTAATAAGCTTATCGGGATAAATTTGGAATAAAAATTAATTTAATTAATAATGTTTTCTTTTTTTTCTTTGAAAGTTTCACGAGCTTGCATTTTACGAAATTACAATTAAATAAATTTAATTATGAGCGCAAAGAGGTAGTCCTTGGAATGTATGGCTTCTAGATAAAACGAAAAATACGAAAAAAAACGTGGCTCTGTAAGGACATTCGTTTATCGTTTATCAGGGCGTGACTGGAAATCGCTTTTAAGAGCAACATTTTAAAACCAAGAGAAACTGGTCTTCAGATGATAAAGCGTCTGGAACTTTTCTTTTATTTTATCAGGCACTAAATTTTATCCGTGTGCGTGTCGCACAGAAATCTGGAAATCGACGATTCGAGAAGATGTTCGATATATTTCAAATCTAATTAGTACCTACTTCGTTTATTTCACATTTCTATATATATTTTCTAAACGATCCAAATCCATTTCGAAAGTAAAGAACACGTTCGACTTGCGTGTATTATTAATAACGTATTAGAATAAAGTTAATTTGCAAAAAAACTGGGATTTTATTTTTGGCGGAAAAGGTTTTTTAATCTTTTAAAACAGTATAATCGGTTTGAAACCGTCGCCGATACGAGCACTGTCGCATTGTCATGCTGGTAATGTTTATTGATAAGATACACAACATGCGGGTTACCAGCATAATAGACCTTTAAATTCTTTTGTTCCTCGCGAACCAAGTCGAAGGAGAAGAAGAACAGCGGACCTGCATGAACCTTGCAACCATTTCGTTTTACGACGCAGTTTAATTTCTTTTAAAGAGGGAGAAGGAAAAAACAGCGCGAGCATCTTTCGCGCGGAGTTAAAGCAAGAAAAAGAAAGAAACAAAAATTTCGTCATTTTAGACCGAATTCGTCGAGCCCACGCTTATCTTTGTAAACACGCGAAAGGAATAAAAATTGAAACGAGAAGCGACGCGTAACGCATAAAAATTAATTAGCCGCGTCATTGTCCAACGGTGAAACTTAATCGTGTATATTTTTACTTACGGTGTGAAATATTGAACACGTTTTGCGATTTCGCTACACTTTCCACCGAGTACATTTGTAACCACGATGTAAACGTAATCACGCGTAGTATGTCACGCGTCTCGAAGAATAATTATCTCGATTTAACAAGCGAGGGTTAACCTGCTACTTGATACTTTTTTATCTTAAGAAATTACATCGAACCCCTTATTTTTCTCGCCGTAGAAGAAAAATAACAATATTAAAGCACGAGGTTAAAAGTTTTGTCCAGTTTGCACGGAAAAGCTTGGTGCGCGCAAACACGTAGGACGCTACGGCGCAAAAATCGCACTGCGCGCTTTGTTGTGTATCGGGCCTAAGGGATCGAAAGAAGGTCGATGGGCTGGCGTTGAAACGGGACGACGATATCAACGTGACCAACGGGAGCCAAGGAAGGAATTTATTAAATTAATTTGCCGCGGCGACGCATCTCGTAAATTTCGTAGATGACCTCACTTTATAATTGTCGAGAATTACTCGGCCGCTCTCGTTCACGTTCGTTCGGAGCTCGCGTGCGAGAAACCTTTTACTCTAGGGGAGGCTCGCGCGTTTTATCGCCACTTTCTTCGAGCGGAGGAATACCGCGCGGTGTGTGTGATATTCGGGAATTTCTCGTCGCTCCCTGGATCGCTTCGGGGATCGTAAAAACGAGAAAAGAAAGAGGGGAGGGGGGGAGGCGATCGCTCGGTGTTCGCCAGAAGCGAAACATCGTTTTAATTTGTATGATTGACGCACGCGGGGAATTCGTTTTAAGGCCAAGGTAATTGAACGGGGCGAGCAAGGAAAAAAAGGAGGGGGGAAGAGGGGGGACTTTACAAGAGGCGCAAGAAGGCAAACACGGTTAATGGTTCGTTTTAAAAGGTGAACCGTATCGAAAAAAGCTACGGTCAAGAGGAGAGGGAGAAGGAAAGGGAAGGGGGGAGAGAGAGAGAGAGAGGGAGG